AAAAATAAGGCTATCAGTCGTATTAACAAGTGGTGATATTTTAATTTTTTAAATTTTACAACATAGTTCATTCTCTAACAAAAGTCTGATTAATTGAAGTTTAACATTTGTACAACATTAAAAAATTAAAAAAAAACTTCATAGTAATTTAATATGAGTTTCATACAGTTACTCACAAAAGTATTTTGATTTGATTTTTCGCCATATTGAAGATGTTTTTCATGGCAAGTTTTTTTGTAAATATTTAAAAAAATAGCTAATTTTAGTCCATAGTCCATATCTAGAAATACATAGTTATTCGCAAAAGTATTTTCATTCGTTTTCTCACAACATTGGTAATGTTTTTCATGGTAAATTTTTATACCCGAGCGCACTTGTGCACAAGGGTATTATAACTTTGTTCACATAACGGTTGTTTGTAACAGGCAAAACGAATCGAGATAGATATAGACAAATGTATACATAAATGATCAGAATGAAAAGAGAAATCGATTAAGCGGTGACTGTCTGTTCGTCCGTCCGTCCGTCCGTCTGTGCACACGATAACTCGAGTAAAAATTGAGATAACTTAACGAAACTTTGTACGTGCACTTCTTTCGGGCGTAGGACGGACGGTATTTAAAATGGGCAAAATCGGTCAATAACCGCGCCTACCTCCCATATAACGGTAATTTTCAGAAATACGAAAACTGCGATATTTTAGTAACTACTGAATATTATTCACTCAAAATTGATATTTACAATAATTTTTAGACGAAAAACAAGAATATTTAAAATTTTTGGAAAATGGGACAATAACCACGCCCACATCCCATATAACGGTAATTTGGAGAAATACAAAATCTTCGATAAATCGGTAAATATTAAAGCTAATTTATTCAAGATAAAAGCTTGCAACAATTATTTACCAATAAATACGTTTATGATAAAATTTTGGACAATGAGCGTGGCACCGCCAACTTATGATCACATATATGTATCTCGGTAATCGTTCTACCAATTTGTTCCAAACTATGGTTATTGTGCTTGCCACATATAAGCAACATGTTAAAAATTATTTAAATCGGACTAAAATTTAGGCCGCTTTCATATAACGGTAAATTTCAGAAATGCTCGAAACTTCAATATTTCGTAATTTAAAGGACGCTAATTTACTCAAGGCCGCTGTGGTGTAGTGGCAAGCAGTGCGCGCTTTCACTCATCAGCACCTGGGTTCAAGCCCTGGTCAAAGCAACATCGCAAAAAATATAGAAAAAAAGGTTTTTTCTTAACAGCGGTCTTCCCTCGGCAGGCAATGGCAAACCTCCGAGTGTATTTCTGCCATGAAAAACAGCTTCTCATAAAAATACTATTGCCGTTCGGAGTCGGCGTAAAACTGTAGGTCCCTCCGCTTTGTGTGACAACGTCAAGGCGCACGCCACAAGTCGGAGGAGAAGCTCGGCCAAACACTAACATATGTGTAAGCGCCAATCTATTATTATTATAATTTACTCAAAATTGATACACCCCGGCTTACCATGTAGCGGTAGCTTTCGGAAAGGTGGAAAACATATATTTAATACTTGCGCCGGGTATTTAATGTTCGGCTCTGCCCGAACTTAGACTTTCTTACTTGTTTTAAATTTGTTTCGAAGAAAATAGTTATTTTTTTTTACTTTGTAGGTTAAAACTTTGGGAAAAATTGAAAAAAGAAACTACAAATCATCCTCAAAACTTAAAGTTTTGTAATCAGAGCTTTTAAAAACATCGCGGGTATTAAATTTCGTAACCTATTTAGTTTTAGTACCATTAAGTCAAAGTCTTAAGTTACTAAAAACAACCGATAATTTTTGATAATTTGTGGTCGTTTGCTCATTTTCTCCAAATTAAAAAAACTCGATCTTGTGTTATTTTTGAGAAAATGAGCAAGACGGTTTAAAAAAATCATCATGAATCATCGGAAGTTTTTAGAAACCCACGGTTTTTTAACTTATGATTATAAATTGAAATTTTGCAGCTTTTTTTTTTAATTTTTCACAAAGTTTTAAGCTTGGATTTACATGGTTTAACTATTTTTTTTTATAACACAAAAAGCATTGTCAATGTTGTGAAAAAACTCGAATCAAAATTCTCTTGCGGGTAACTGTATTGTACACATTTACAGGGTGTAAAATAATAACTGTCGTTTTTTGAAAAATAAAAGAGTCCTTAATAGATGTTGCGAAAAAAGTATTTGATTGTTAATTTTGTTCATAATTTACTTCAATTGTATTAAATAGTTTTAAAATTTTAATCTTTAAGTATATGGGCAAATCTAAAAAATAGGTACACTTTCAAAAAAAAAATTTTAATTTTTAAATTTGTGAGCACACCTATGTTTTATATATCGTTTTATTCGTAATCTCTTAATAAATCGATTAATATAAGTGTAATTCATTTTCATCAAGTGCTTCAAAAGTTAGACGAGGAATAAGCATGAAATAGAAAACAAAAGAATAAGCTGGGTTGAAATTACGCTGTTCAAGTTGTAAACTTTGAGGAAAGATTTTGAAAGTTGAACTCACTTATTTGGGATGTTCTAAATTCAATGGCATGCCCTGTTTTACCAGATTGACTCCGATTTTCGAGATAACGGTACTTGAAAATTTGATTAAATTTTAACTATTTTATAAATAACTCCCTTAGTTTTGAAGTTATTTTACTAAAATTTTGCACATAATAGTTTTTTAATATTACCTTAATTATTCCTTAAAATTATCGAAATAGGTTAACATTAACATATAGCTCCAATACAACTGATTACTCAGATATGTGTTTTTTGCACAATAACTCTAACTTCATATCTGAGTAATAAATTGTATGCGTGCTATATGTTAAATTGAACCTATACTAAATTTTAACCTGTTTAATTGAAGGAGGTATAACGAAAAACAACGTCTCTGTTCAATCAGTTGTATGGGAGCTATATGTTTTACTGAACCGATTTCGATGATTTTATGGAATATTTAAGGTAATATTAAAAAACGGTTATGTGCAAAATTTTAGTAAAATATCTTCAAAACCCAGGGACTTTTTTTTATAAAATAGTTAAAATTTAAGCAAAGTTTCAAGTACCGCCATCTCGAAAAGTGGAGCCAATAGGGTAAAACTTAGGACGCCATTGAATTCAGAAGGCTCCAATTAAGTAAGAGCAACTATCAGAACATTTGTCGAAAAAAAGTTGCTTTGATACCACTCTCGAAATATTCGGACTAAAAGAAGGAGCATCATTAAAAGTAGTAAATCAGGGTTTTTTTACACTTCTAGAGACAAATTTTTTGAAGCGTTTTACAGGTATATGTAATTTTATAAGGACTATCAGTTATAGAAAGATTTAGATCCTTTCGACGTATTTTCCAAATGTGCCTTTAATTAAAGTGTTTTTGGAATAAAAATTACTCTCAAGGTCGCAAAATATTTTATCTTTAAAAGTTGGTTTATTCTGAAAGCACAGCTCTTGCTAAGGTATCAAATTATTCGTAATTGTTTGTAGTATACAATACATACTTAAAAAGTTCTTAAACTTAAATACTTCAAAAACTATACGCGATAAACCGAAAATTTTGAAAATTGTGAAATGTGGAATTACAGACTTTGAGTTACTTGCCACTTCGTTATTTTTTAAGGCACACTTTTCTTACCTACTACGTGTGAAGTGTACACATAAGTGCTAATTCCACATAAAATTTCAAATCAGTATATGGTGTGCTTCAAAAGTTATGACATAATTAATTTTTCACCTCTTAAATATTACATAAAAAATTCACTTGTTTTCATTATTATTTTTTATTTAAACACCTATAATTCAAAAGTTATGCAGCAAATTGATCCAAATTTTTTTTGAGGCTTCAAGTATACGTCAATGAATTATATCCAAAAGCAACCAGCTTGATATAGTTTCCAACAGTGAAAATAAAGCTAAACAACACCAAGGTTACCTGTTTTTTAGATTTGCCCATATGTATAAAAAAAAACAAAAAAATTAAAAACTGTAGGCATAGGGTTGGTCGAATGAATGGCCGTCCTAGTCACCAGTTCCGAGTATATTCGATTTCTGGGTATGAGGCCAAAAAAGGGAGTATAAAGGACTCAAAATGGAGGAAATTGGCCTATGGTTTCAGAACATATGGAACAAATTAACTGACGAAGACTTGCGTGCCGCTTGCGCTTTTTTCTCAAAGTGTTTACCGCTGATAAACCTAAATAAAGGTTAAAATTTAAAAACTAATTAATAAAATTAAAGTAAAATTTGTGGAAAATTAACAATAAAATATGTACTTATTCGCAAAATCTATAAAGGACCCCCTTATTTTTCAAACAAAACCGGTGCGACAGTTATTATTTTACACCCTCTACAAGCTTGTGAAGCTTCAGAGCAAAATTCCAAACCGGTTGCAAAATCCCGTTGATTTTTGAGATTTTTTTTGGTGACGGCTTTTTGCACTTTTTTCCATATAAGCATGAATTTCTTAAGAGATGCGTTAGCACCAAAATTTAAAAAACAAAATCGACGCGAGTTTTTGTAAATTGCATTTGTTTTATAAAAAAAAAACGCAAAAGTTCTGTCCGAAAACAAACTCTCAAAAATCAACGCAATTTTAAGCCGTTTGAAACTTACACTTCGTTAGACTAAAATTGTATGGGCTATAATCCTGCATACCCAAACATTTTATAAAGATTAAGATTAAAAAATTTTAATTTTGATGAAATTTTGTTGAGTTTTCCTAAATTTTGTATAAAGTTTGAAGCTGTGATTTATATGTTTTTGGTTAAAGCTTGGGCGGTATTTTTATAGAAAAATAACAAAAAAAATTAGCTCGAAATACTTGACGAATATTAAAAAAAAATCAAAATGTGGTCATTTGTTTGCAAAGCTTTCTTAAAAAGCATTCTAAAAGAAGTTACTACTGCTTCATCCCCAGGCTGAATCCAGTAACTACAGAACTATTTAATGTCGTCTCTTGTTAAGTTAAAACAATTACCTTGATAACACTTTCATCCTCAGCGTAGCAGGAACTTTGTAACGTAACATCAGCTACTTTACCAGCTTGTGATACTATAAAAACTTTCATAGCTTGAGCCACCTGACGGCCAGTTAAAACAGCAGTGTTGATTAATTCCCAATTCTTAAAAAAAAGAAAATTGAATAAATTGTCTTATTGATTTAAGTAATAACAGTAGGTGCATTTTTTTTGTAAACGAGCGACAAAAGAACGCTCAAGTCGGGTAAAATTTCATTTTAGCTACCTAAGCAACCCTGTTGGTATCTGGCAAGAAACATTTCATTAGTTTAACGGGATTTAGATACAAAAACAAATGTAAATGAGTAATTATGCGAGGTATTTGCGTAATATATATACTTATTTAAAATATAAATCATGTATATAAGCAAAACGAATATTTCCCTCTCCACTTTCCCATTAATAATTCACAATAGAGCAGTTTTTAACTTAACAAGACTAACCTTCAGGTCGTGTATTTTTAACCGACCTATCTGAACTCGGAATAGCCGAGTTTGTGTTGTATAAAAAAATAATAGGGGTATTCTTGAAATTTTGCAAAGCCGTTGCCCGTAGCATGGATTGCGTAACTTTCAAATAAAAGCAAGATAAATGCATGATACATATGCATGCTACCATTTTGCAATGGGGGGGCCCTCGTACTCTTGCAAATTTGGAATAGTATTTTTGTATTTAATACAATCCGTGCTACGTACAAGACTTCGAGAATACCAATTGCATCATTACCAATGCCAACGACTTGGGCAGGGAAACCGCAACTACTGTATTTTGGTAAAGGCAGGCAATGGCAAACCTCCGAGTGTATTTCTGCCATGAAAAATAGCTTCTCATAAAAATACAATCGCCGTTCGGAGTCGGCGTAAAACTGTAGGTCCCTCCGCTTTGTGTGACAACATCAAGGCGCACGCCACAAGTCGGAGGAGAAGCTCGGGCAAGCACTAACATATGTGTAAGCGCCAATCTATTATTATTATTATTGTTAATAAAATGAAAGTGCATTTTTTCTAACAAACTTCTATATATCCTGTCCTGTGCAATAACGAAACAACTCAAAATTCAAAAAATAAAAACCTTTACTACTGTTAAGTTGCTTATGTCTCTAATCCTTGTCGAATCCATGTCTTACGACTTACTTCAATGGATTTGACAAGGATTCGATACAAGAGCCACTTAGCAGTAGTAATGGTTTTTATTTTTGAATTGTGTCGTTATTGCAGAGGACCATCGATATGTACATATGCATGTATTTAAGTATGCAAAAGCAGTTGTAGAAGTGGAATTACAGCCCCTTTCAAATGATCTGCTTATTTGAATAACGGTGCAATGTTTTCTTCTCAACAAACAATTCAACTAAAGAAAACAGAGAAGTACAAAAAAATACGGAAACAGACTGATTTTATGAGAAGCTTTTTCAAGACCGCTGTGGTGTAGTGGTAAGCAGTGCGCGCTTCCACTCCCCAGGGCCTGGGTTCATGCCCTGGTCAAAGCAACATGGCAAGGAAAAATATAGAAAACAGGCTTTTTCTTAACAGCGGTCGCCGCTCGGCAGGCAATGGCAAACCTCCGAGTGCATTTCTGCCATGAAAAACAGCTCCTCATAAAAATATTATCGTCCTTCGGAGTCGGCGTAACACAGTAGGTCCCTCCCCTTTGTGTGACAACATCAAGGCGCACGCAAGTTCGACCATAACACTAACGTATGTGTAAGCGCCAATCTATTATTATTATTATTAGAGACACCAAGATCTGTTGTCTGTTGGTTGTAAGTGATAACAAACAATAGTGGTATTGTCTATTGCAATATGCTGCTTATTAATGAGGCGAAACCAAGTGCACTTGTATGAACAGCAGCGACCAATAAAATAGTAACAAAATTCAAAATTATGTTGTTTGCAACTTATGTTTATTTATTTATTTATCATAATTTTCATTTAAAATATAGTTCGATCCCATGATACAAGTATGTAAAGGTAAAACCATGATACAAAAAAAGAAGTTAGTTTCACTTTGATATTTTTTTACATAAACTGTGCTTATGACGTTTATACTTTTCGTAAATTCCTCAAGTAGCACTGCCACCTACATACCTCAATAAATTATTGTTTTGGAAATTATAATATTTTTTAAAGGATTTTTTATGCATTAAAATATAACAACACGCAAGGTAAATTTACTTATTACATCGTATTAGCGGAGCTGTATTGGTTTAAAATACCTTACCGCAAAAAATTTGGCATTATCTGCAGTGTTACGTGAGATATTATTATATCTGGAAATTAAGATATTAGGACGTTGCTTAAATTTGGATCCTCCTTAGTGGAAATATGAACAAAGGAATGGTAAAAAAGTAGCTAACCGTCAATGAAAGCACCATGGAAGCATAAGCTTATTTGTGATAACGCATGCTGTAGTCAAGAAGAGGGAGGTAAACAAATTTCCTAATTCTTGGAGCTCCCTGTTATAGTTTATAACCACTGAGGGGAAAAAATTTTAGAATTAAAAAAACGTGCCAAATTTAAAAAAATACGCATATAAAACAAAAGAGCACCAACCCAACTCGTTTTAAATTTAAGTATGTACGTTATAAAATATGTAGTTGTGAAGTGCACAGATTTTCGTAATTAAGGGAAAATATATTAATTTTATGTTCCGTCTGATGATAATTGAACCCGGACCCTCTTGGCAGCAACCAATTGTATCAAGCGTCTTTGAACACTCAGCTACAGCCATACATGTAAATATGTTTTCAAATTTTGAGTTTTAATCAACATCACAGCGCGCGATTAGTGCATTTGTACAGAAAAACATGTACCATATATGTGTGTATGTGTGCCCAGCCAGCAAAAAATCCGAAAACCGATCCGAAAACGGGAAAAAAGTCGATGAAAACCGGATTTTTGTCCGTTTACCGATCCCATTTTCGGATACTTTAATGTTCCGTTTTCCTACCAAAGTGTGCGGCAGAAACGTATGTACAGAAAAGTACCGAAAATGGTGGTGAAAAGGATACGATTTGGACTGTTTTTTCTGAAATTTGTCTGATTGAATTTTTCGTTCAATACGCTTTCCTTCTGTATTTCACAGATACTTTTTCATTGTTCAAAAGAAATAAAATTAGGAAGCGCCTGACGGAATTCGAACCCGGCACCTTCTGGAAGCTAACAAATACCGGCACACTCCTCTGCTCGCTCAGCCACTGCCGACTACGCATGCATGCTTTCAAATGTTTAGCTTGAGCAAATAAAATACAATTATTGCTTTCAAATGACATCATCTTTTTCGAACGTTTTCCGGATACGAAAGTTAATTATAACTGTAGGAGTTTTTTGTATGCGTTTTCGGATACGGAAAATTGAACTAAACTGCACTGTCGGCAAAATGAACGTTTCTTTGTTGGATGGGTTGTCACTGCCTTACTGGGAAAATAGGCAAAAACCTTACGAGGTAAGCCACGTTTTCTTTCAGATTTTGGCACCAAAATTGTCATCATGGCCAATGTCATCTACTAGTAAAGCAGAAAATGAACACCTCCGACGACGCCACACCAACGTTGTCAGTTGTAAAATAACGTGCAGCCGAAGTTATTTCCAAGCGCCGAACTACTCCGAGCGATTGCTCTGCATTACACGTAGCTTACTTTGTAAAGTGGCTCAGAAGTATGTCTGATATCAAATATACATTCTAAATTCCTACTTACATAAGGCGGCCACGTCTTTGTTAAAGTAAGGGAGATTCGGCAGGGAAGTGGTAAGGACCGCCGGGTGAAGGGAGGTTACCATGCACGTGGCTATCCCGGAATATGCAGCTAATCGTACTAAATAATGATGAAAATAGATTCTCTATGTGCATTACACAATGTAATACGAGAATTTTACTTGCCTTCCGTTTTATATTTAATTTTACAAATAAATCACTAAAAGCTCGCTATAAAATGATGGTCAAAATATATTTTTTTTAATAATTATTTTGAAGTAAAAGCCCTTTTTTAATTTCCTCAAAGAATATGGTAGCTTCAATTTAAAAGAAAATGTCAAAAGCACAGTTTACGTTAAATGGGAGCAATGGTGAATAAGAAGTGAAACTACCTTTAAATATTTGTGTCATGGGTAAAACCGCTCGCTCATTTCGTCGGCCAAGATTTATTTTTTTGAAGTTTATCTACTTTATAAAATTTAAGTTTTCAGAGCAACTCAAATGCCAAATAAAAGCAAAACAAAAAATAAATAGATTAAAATATTAAATCGAGCCTAAGCGCCATTTTTCAAAATTTTCTTTTTGATGCAGAAATACATCTAGATGCCCTAGGAATATTTCTGCATCAAAAATAAACATTTTAAAAAATATCGCTTACGTTATTTTGGCGGTTAGGGCTCCAAATGTAGCTTTATTTGAGACTGAAACTGAGAATGTATGTATGAGATTGAAAATTTGAAAACATTTTTGGTATGTTATATTACATTTACATTGAGGCCAAATGCGTCATTTGGGCGAGAAATCTGAAATGCAAGGCCAAATCACACATTTCTCCATACGAATTCGCCTTTCCAAAATGACGCATTTCAGCGCATTTAAACAAAATCACGAAGCAAATGCGTTCCAATTGCCGAACAGTTTTATTGGTCTCCTGCAGAAATAAAAGTTCCACAAAAGCTTTTGTTTGTCTTTGACATTTGTAATTTTTAAAAATCAAAAAAACACAACGAAATGAAAAAATCTTTGAAATTTGTGTATAAAAATTATTAATTTATACATAACCTTTACACATTTTTAGTTTGAACAAAGAATAATTGCCTTTTTGTGTCCAAAAATATAATAAATGTAGTATTTGTTTACATTCATTATGTTTTTGTCTTTCCTTTTCAATTGAAGTCAAACCAGATGCGGATCAAGCAGTGTAAACACCTTCAAATGACTGATTTCAAAGCACGCATTTGGGGCCAATGAAAATGTAATATAAGCAAACTTCAAAAATGTTCAGGCTGCGTCTCAGCGGCTTTACCTTTAAATTTTTGTATCATGGTCCGATCTATAACAGAAGCGACATACATAAATAAAAGTTGCAAGGTTTGCACCATGGTACAATAATAACAATTAACAGCAAAACT